TTAGCGTGTTCGCCTGTCGTGGCTGTTAACCGTAATTATCTCTACTAAAGCACACACTGTGCATCGCGGTAGACCACCTGGAAAAGTTGACATTGTGTTTGTTTAACTGTTTCTTGGTGAACTATGTGCATGCCGAATAAGAGGCTGACTCTGTCTGATTCAGACAACACCGTTAATATCAGTTTAGTTGGTTTTAACATAAACCGCCAAGTATAACGCTGCGGCACAGCGGCGTTTTTAAGGAGTTTTCAGTGATCACCGCACAGAGAGAAGGAAATGCATCGGGCCAGCAGGACCGTTTGAAGACAGCAGTAGTTGGAGCTGCAGGACTTTCCTTACCTTAATATTCCAGTCTAAGAGCCTCCGCAGATGTTTGTTTAACCATATATCTATAGCCTCGGGGCGCCGGGGCTCAAGGACGCTGACAGTTTTCCCAAAATGTCTCCTCTGTTTCTAATTGGGTTTCAATCCGCCGTCAGACAGATTCGCCTTTTGTCCTGCAGACAGGCGCCATGTTGACACAATGACGCAAGGAACGACGGGAGTCGCAGTTTACAGAACTTACTGTACACAGAGGTGCCAGTTCATTATGCCCGACTGGTTACATCTGATATTCATACATCTTTCTGAGAGGTGTTGATTTAACTCTATCGATAAAGGGGAGGTGGCATTCTAGGATATTTATAACATTGTAATATGACATGTTTTTGTGATATATGCTCATGTCTCAGGGGGTTAAAAACAGTTAGTTCGCTCACCAACAATATTAATTACAGGCCACAATGCAAAAGTAAAAACATACAAAGGTTTTACTGTCATATGCACAGTAGCTACAGTGTAGTTATGGCAAGGACAATCTGAAGTCCCATGCCCCTTCAACAGTGCAACATAAATACATACAAGACATAAAACAGAATAGAAATAAAATTGTGCAAGAGAATGTTGCAATTGACCAATGTGCAAGTAATGCAGGAGAAAATACACACATGCTGGAAAACATGGAACTAGACAGAGGTGGATGCAGCATTTCTCCTGACGTTTGAGTAATTAAAACCACAAGATCCCAGTTTTTATTCATGAACATTACTAACTTAAAACATTCTCGTAAATGTCAGCACTCAGAACAAAAAGCACAGTGGCAGCTATCCTACTTGTGACTATGTATAGATCCTATCAGCGACACAAGTGCTCATCACACAGAGTCCTGCTGGTTTGCACTGTAGTTGCTGAATCAGTGACAAATGAACACCCGAGAGACTTTAGGAATACAATTATCAACCTGCAGTGCTGTAGGTCCTGATAACCACTGCCGCATGTAAGGAAAAGTGTTAATAGCAAACTATTACCAGCTACACTGCATGTCCTTGTAAGTCCACTATACATTAAATAAAGTTGTATGAATTCAGTTTTTATCCACGGATGTCTGGGCTACAGAAAATTGGCCTTTTCTTGCACGATCTCAGGTTAACTCAGTAAAATGCTGAATCTACTGCATTAATCCAAAAATGACTAATTTAAGGACAAATGTCTTCTCTCACTGCAGATAATTCTGCGACATACTGCGTACAAAAATATTAATACAATTTATAAAAAAGAGTCACTATGGGGAATAATAAACTATTTTATTCCTTGTCTGTATAATAATGATTTCTCAAATAGGACCAAAGAAAAAAAAATGGATATGGCATCCTGATGTTGAAATCTTATTTATTGATAGAAAACATGACGAGTGTACAGTACGGTATAAAATATAAAAAACAAATGCTACGGCAACTAACACCTAGATATAGGCAAGTACTAAACATAATAAACACCAAGTCTGTTGGTGTGTGTGTGTGTGTGTGTGTGTGTGTGTGTGTGTGTGTGTGTGTGTGTGTGTGTGTGTGTGTGTGTGTGTGTGTGTGTGTGTGTGTGTGTGTGTGTGTGTGTGTGTGTGTGTGTGTGTGTGTGTGTGTGTGTGTGTGTGTGTGTGTGTGTGTGTGTGTGTGTGTGTGTGTGTGTGTGTGTGTGTGTGTGTGTGTGTGTTCAGGAGGGAACCCAGATGTTGCCGTGTGTGTCGGGAGCCTGGTTGTACGGAATGTTCCAGATCCAAGGCTGATCTGAAAACACAGAGTTCGGAAGAAAATGAAATGCAAATACATGGTTTGATAACTAAAAAGGGACATTAGATTGGACAAATCGGCAGCATATATGCCCACTGTGGTGTCTTTAATCATTGTTTAAGTGGAAGAACATGCCCCACTCAAAGATTAACATCTTAGCGGCTCTCATAGATTCTATCATTTTTTAATTAGGGCCATCATCTGCATTGATTTTCGAATGTTGGCACAATAGATTGAATGACTCTGACTTAAGATATAAATCGATAGGATTTGAAATGATTGAATTCAAATTATTATTACATTGTAAATGTTCTGTTTGGAATAATTATTAGAATATATTACTGGCTAACAGACATTTTAACCCTTTTTTTAGCAACTTCTCCTCTAAGCAAGTACAGAAATCTGAAACATCAATAAAGAATAAAAGAAAATTACAACATAAATATGTGTAAATAGTAAATACTATTAAATGGTGTATAAAATGCCTATACTTAAGTGAGAGCGCTGTGCGTTTTTTTAGCAGTGGGCAGAATTGTGCAAAGCAATGGGAGGAAGTTCACAGTATGAAGTATAAAAATCATCAGGATTGTACAGATATAATCCAATATCCAGATGTAGTCTAGTTAGGATTTGGACAGATTTAAATTAATTCCAAACTACACATTTGTTGTTTTAATTATAGCATATTAAAAAAATGTGTCCTTTCTTTTACTATAGCTTCAAATGACAGTTTAACAAAACATATGACCCCTATAATAATGACACAAGTCAAATGTACCAATATGCCATTGAAATAGTTTGGTTTTGAGACAAAACTAAAGCAATGAACACATTTGTTTTTAAATACCTGTTTTTTTTTCTCCATTAAATTATGTGCTTTCTTTAACCTCTTTATGCTCTGGTTTAAGTATGAACTCCTTCTCCTGAATGCCACTAGAGGTCACTGAAACTGCAGATTAAACTCTACCTGTTGTTTAACTGCAGTTAAAGACCATAGAGTTAAGTATAAAGCTTAAATCAGACATCAAGACACTGCAACAATGTTTCTACTTTACATTATGCCAAGAGAGTAGTAAAAGCACAGCCTTTGTAGTATTCTAACCTGGAGTTAAACTAAAGTTCACATGCTAAACAAAAGAGCAACAGACTCAGTAAATAGTCCAACCTGTACATAAACACTAGGGCTGCACGATATATCGTGTCGTGACGATAATCGCGTTATGACATCGCAGGATGTGCAATGTCGTGTTTTTAGTTTTTTTTAGGACGTGCGATATTACAGTAAGTAGGCAAATGAACTCAAACATGTCATGGTGCGCTGAAATTCCCCTGTCAACCATTTGGTCTGATCCACTCCCAAAGAGCCGATGCTGGAGAACTGGCCAATCACAGGCCACCTTTCTTCCCCAGAAATCGGTTCTAGTAGGCAAATGAACTCAAACACGTCATGTTACAATTATTTTGCTGCTTGCTACAAAAGGAAAACTCGCGCGGCTCTCATGTCAGGGGTACTTGAGTGAGTGACATGCAGGCTCTGCATGCACAGCAAACCACCAATCACAATCATTCTTGATCAGATCACAGCAGGATAACCGAGCTAGCTCAGCTTGTTGCTCTGATAACTTAAGATCCAGCAGTCCGTGACTAAAATCCTTCATCCGGTTAAATATTGTTAAATCAATTCCAATTGTATAGCATTAAAGTTCAAGAAAGGATGGTTTGCGGACAAAAAAAACTGTCTTTTCTTCAATTCCTGTATTTCTTCATATCGCAATATATATCGCAGGGGAAGAAAATATCGCAATGTCAGTTTTTTCCAATATTGTGCAGCCCTACACATACATTTAATACACAATCACACACTCTTGTTTACCTTTAGGAGAGTAGCTTGTAGGGGGGAGGTCAAATGGCACAGTGAAACCAGAGGAAGAGGAGACAGGAAATGGATTTCCGCTAACAGGGAAGGTCTTCATGTTCTGGAGGAGATAGGCATCACACCACATTAAACTCATTTATTCAGCACGGTGAATTCTGCTTCTGTTCATCTGTGTCTGTTGTTCTTACAAAGGCGGAGGGCACGTAGAGGACTCCCAGCTCGTATGAACGGACCATCACCTGGGTGTTGTTCTTCTCCAGCGCACCCCATGCTGCTTTGGACAGGTTGGCACTGAAACACGTACACAAACATACACTTTAATGTTTTAATACAGCTGTGTATCAGTGCTGCCCACACAATTGTGTTGGTTTAGCTGTCAAACTGACATATTGATGAGACTTGAGTCTTTCTTTTCATTCTCCATAAGGAAATTAGTGGGGTTTTGAAAGAGAAGGACAAACTCTTTCTATGAAAAAGTAGAAAGAAGAGGATTTATGTTTATACATTTATTAAGGTTAATCATAATGAATTTGGAAGAGGAAAACAAGAAATTGGATGCCTGGTTCATTATATTAAATGTATACATGTGTACAAGTTTAAGGAGTAAGTGTCATTTAATATATAAGATAGCAAATCAGAAAATCACACATACATAAAAAGAAAAAGTAAAAATATGAAGATCAGCAAATACAAAGCTAGCACACCTTGTGACGAAGAACCAGGCAAGCTGAGTGAAGTCTGGGGAAGCCCTCATGTATGTCTTGATGTGTGGCATGGCATGACTCCTTCCTGTTGCATCTGCCTTCCAACGGCTACACACAAACACACACATATATTATTAATCTGTTGCAGTGGACTTCATGTTGTATAACGATAAATACAGCTGTGTGAACTGCAGGTTAATATACTAAAAGCCTCCTGCACACAGCCCTGTCTCATTGTTTTGGACCAAATTTCAAATACACATTTTAATTACGTGTGTAGAACCTTGTATAATGTGCCCAGTTACATTAATTACTTGATGTAATAAATGAAAGAGAAGAAGGTTATCATGACTATCTGCCCAGTTTAACAGTATCAGTGAAGCCCTACTAAGAGTTATGATACATAGAAGTGAACTTACTGGAAGAAAGAGTGGAGCCAGAGTTGTTTCTGAGCCGTCTGGATGCTGTAGGGAAGAGAGCCTCCGGCTGGAGGACAGAAGAGACTAATATTACAACCTAATACAGAGCAATCACTATATCATCCAATGCTAGATCTATTAGTCAATAACTCAAACATTGATAGTTGGAGGTGGATAATTAACAGGGCCCTTTTACGCTCATTTTCAGGTGCATATTTGTATTTTGTGCCTCTACTGGGACATGTCTCCATGCTTTAATGTTCTCATACTGCCTGTGCTGCAGCACCTCTTTTCACCCTCTGTCTGAAACCAGAGCCCAGTCTGCTCTGATTGGTTAGCTTGATTGGTCAACCGCTTAAAGATGTCCCAGCCCTTAGCCTATCAAGAACAATGTGTTGGAGCGCTAGCCAATAGAAGCACAAGTGTTACATAGTGATGTCATTACTCACCTGGATAGCCTTCTAAACTAGTCCTCACATCTTCAACTGATGGATACACCTGCAAAAGACCAACCATCACCGCTTCGTTAAATAAATTCAGAGCTTTATCATCATAAAGTGAGGTTGTGTACCTTTACTGTCACTGCAATGTGGCAAAGTGTAGCATCAACCAGATAATGGATAATGCCAAGAATAGCAGCACAAATAAACAAAGGTCAGCAGGTCAGATTAACATCAGTATTCATGTTTATTGTTATGCGTTTAACTTATTATATACAATCTATGATTCGGCCCAGTTTCCACCATTTTGATATTAAACCAATTCATGGACATTATATTTTGTCAAAAAGGTTTTTACCAAATCAAATGTCCTGCACGTAACCTCGAAATAATAATGCTATGAAACTAAAAGCAGCAGCAGCAGTCACATGAATTCCAATTTGTATTGTATTATTTTGTACAATGCACCCTGCAATCACGCAAGAAACAGACCACCAATTTTGTTTTGGAGGAACGTACCAAGTGCAGGGGGGGAGCTGAGCGAATAGAGGATTTCCCCAGTGTGGTCATGGTGCGCTGAAATTCCCCTGTCAACCATTTGGTCTGATCCACTCCCAAAGAGCCGATGCTGGAGAACTGGCCAATCACAGGCCACCTTTCTTCCCCGGAAATCGGTTCTGTGTGCTCATACAACAGCTGATAAAAGAGAGAGATGAGAAGAAAGAGATAAAGAAATCCCAGTTTAAAGTGTTGTCATTGCATTGTGAAATAACCATGTTTTTTTACATTACCTAGGCAACATATAGATATTAATCTAATTCGCATGATTATTGTGCTCGTGCTGAACTGAGACTTTTTCCTAATGCACTATAAACAAGCAAATACATTATTTGGTTAGAGCCTTTATATAAGAGGCCGGTTCCTAGCAAATTCATATTTTCCTGGTTTCCCGATGCCATGCTTCAAATAGTTTGTTGCTGCAAACTAGTTACATGACATGTGATTGTGCTTCATCCAAAGCAACACTCTTGAATACCATGGATTTTGACTTTTGTTTTCTTTCTTGTTTTCTGTCTTGAATAGCTTTGTGTTATCAACTAGTTTGAGGATAGGAGCGTCTAAGAGAGAGAGATCTTTACCTTCCTCAGCCTCAGGTGGCCCCAGCGCTCCATGTCAGGGCCGACATATCTCCCTGGGGTTGAGCCGACCAAATAAACCCTAATAGAATAGAAGAGATACTTGTAAAAAAAATTGCATCTTTATTCCCCAAACTAACAACTTTACTGAATGTAGATGACAACCATTGAGTAGGCGATGTTCTTAAGTCTACTTGGGGTTTTCACAAAGTTTGGTGTGAGTTTTCATTTGTCACTAATGCAACTACATGCGTAACTGTACATGCGTGGTGTTTACTTGGTCTCTGACAGGTCATGCTCTCTGATTCGTTGGATCCACTCCTCCAGTTCTGGTGTGCGGTACGCTGCCAGGTATTCCAACAGGTCCCTCTTAAAGAAGGTCGGAGACTCACCTTCGTCGTCACTGCTGCCCTTTGGTAACCGTGGAAACAGGGGGCTCATCCACATCCTGGTAAGGAAATACAAATATTTATGAGAAATTCCATAAGCAAATATCAAGGTACTGTGCAACAATAAATAAAACTTAAACTGGTCTTTCTATTGAATTTTATAGATTTTGATTTTAAGTTAAAAAAAAATTGAAAATGCAGCAGTTCCTTTATCTTATCTTTTGATATGGCAGCCCAGATCAATCGGTGCAGCCTCACCACAATTCCTAAGTTAAATCAAAGTTAAAAAAGAGACAGACTCACCCTTGTGATTTCTGGTACCAGTCAGCTCTGATGAGGTTGGAGGTCGTTATAACGACTCTGAAGCCTTCCTCATACCACAGCAACATCATCTTTCTGCACAGACACCATTTCATGTTTTATATAACATCAACAAAGACTACACCCCAAGATCAGACATATGCAAAGTGTAAATGTATGCATAGTACAACAATGTATTCCACAATTTGCAACAGCACTCTTTCCTGTTAGTTGATTTTATTCAGAAAATACAAGGAGTATAAAGCTTATTTATATTATTTATGCATTTTAAAAAGGTTAGTAACCCCTCTATTACAAAACATACATTTTCCCTTTTCATCGCAGGAAAAGCTAAGGAATATTAATAACATTAGTCAATATTTATTTTCTGGGAAACATAAAAGTAATATAACATAAAAAATTACTTTAGCCATGATCATGCAAGTATAAGGAACTACCTTTTTGTCAAGTAAGCATCATTTTTAAGCCATGTTCATAATGTTAGGTCAATATTTAAGGTGAATATTAGGAAAGGTCAGGGAGTCACCATCACATTTGTAGGATTGCTCCTCTGTCTACCATTAGTCTGTACAACATTGTATTTTAATCTTTCTGTAAAAACATCCCAATCTGATCAGGTTTATGAATATACAGAAAACAAAACAACATGTACGATACTAGGCAGGAAAAGTGCTTACGTGTGGTGCGTTCCAAAAGCAATATCCAGCTTGGCCTGTTAGAGAAAGTCACCCGATAAGTCCCATTTAAAGGCAATTCCAAATCTCGTTAACAGGCATTTCTGAGTATGCCTAGATATACTGGTGGTAAATGTTTCGGGTGGTGGCGAGTCTTTACCTGGCAGAAGTGAACATGAGGGTAAGGCTTGGCCTGCTGCAGCAGCCGGGCCTTGGCCTCTCTTTTGTCTCCATGAACAATCAGAACTGGACGATCCCTGTAAACACAACAAGACAGGCCTTATTTTCACCAGAATCATTACTGTCCTCCACTTGTATCACATATTTGCCATATTTTGGAGATAATCATGTATTGCAGCAGTTCTTCAGAATGTCCTCATATAATAATAGTAATAATTATTATAAAGTAATTCTGTAGAATTGTAAACACAAACTCCTGTTGTAACAAGAAGACATTTTTGGGTATTTTTTTTTTATTCATTATTTGGAGTCACATAATATTGATACATCTTGGAGACAAAGTTTGGGGATTTTTCAGTTATTTTCAGTATATTTATGAGAAAACATTCCACATACAAATTAGAAAGCGTATTGTACAAGCCATATCATGCTAGAGAGGCTACTAAAGAGATTTCTTTATGATAGTAGGTAGTGAGGAAGACGTGTACTTACTTAAACTCTGATGGGTACTGATCAACCATCCAGGCAATATCAAAGCAGTAGTTAAACTATAAAGAAAGAGAGCATACCTGTATTAATGGGTATCCTTCCGATGCTCTCCAACTGCAGTACAAGAGACTACAGCCATGCTAGGAGCTAGCTGTTTGAATGTACTTGTGCTAAACGCCAATATTAGAATGTTTACAATGACAAGCATCGCTTAAAAACAGGACATTTGTTTGTTTCCGCACTTCATATAGTGACTCACCTGAGCTGACTCTTTCAGGGTCCCAAAGAGGGGAGAGAGAATGTCTAGTGGGAAGAAGAAAAAAAAGATTACAAAATAAAATCATGTAAAAAGGCTGATGACAAGAGCTGGTATATGTACTGCACAATCTGTCTATATTCAAATCTAAACTCAGAACTATGAATTTTAGCATGTAAAGTGTCTTTAAGTACCCTGAAAAGCGCGCTATGAATAAAGTGTATTATTATTTTTATTATTATTATTAACATATTATTAATACCAAGGCATCAAAGCAGAGAACTCATCTCATTGCGGATGAAAATTAGCATCTCCATTTTACCCAAACTCATACAACAAAAACAAATACAGGTAAAGGGGACATGTCACGCTCATTTATTTGGGGGGGTTCTACAAGAACATGGTCCAAATGAAATAACATCCAACTCCTCTCACCTCTGATGTGCAGAGCTCCACTGTTGTACTTCCTGTCCAGGCCAGTCACTTTGTTGAGGTAGAACCTGTAGGGGTCATTCAGAGGAGGAATACTGGACTCATAGAAGTCCTCTGGCTCGTCGATGTAGTAGAGGCGGCCGTAGGGGCTCGGGGGCCGCTCGTTCTCCACCTTCACTTTCTTTGTTTTGGGGCTCGGAGGCGCCCTCTTTGGGGAGTTACCGAGACTCTTCCCCTTCACGTCTCCATCATCATCCTCACTATCTGAGAGAGCCCAGCCTGAGCCGTCTGACACCTCATTTTTCCTCTTTCCAGCTAACGACGGACTACTTTCGTACTTCACTGTATTTACCTGGTTGGCTGCTGCTGACTGTCTCGCCTCAGAGCCAATCACAAGTGAGGATACAGGGGCGTTAGCTGGTTCTGGTTTCACCTCCACAGGGGCTGCTTCTATTTTGGGGATGGTGGGAGTGGGAGAGGCAGAGGCAGCCGGTTGGTAGCTGGGACTAGAAACAGCGGGCTGGTGGGGTTTGGATGTGGTCGTTCCAGAGAGAGGAAGATCATCATCTTCATCACTGCTGGAGACGGTCCACTTGCCATGGTGACTGTCCTGAGACATGCCTGAGTGGATATACAGGGATCAAACAGCCACAATATGATAGTGTACAACAGCATTTGAAAAGACAGGCACATTTTTACCCTGTTTTTTCTTGCTTTGACACACCCCCCCCCCCCCCCCCCCCCAACCTGTTATTAGTGTTATACCAAACATAGCATAAAAACATGCAAAACTTGCAGATCAGATAGGCTTTGATTCCATTCCACTTAACTGTCCAATTTGGTGGTGATCTGTGGCACCATATTCTCATTTAAGAATCTAAATGAGATTATTGTAAATGGCAGTGGATGTTTGCAGTTGCAACAATCTGCATCTAGCAACATTTGAATATTGCTTTAATTGGCTTAATGCAAAGTCAAAAACATTGAAAAAAACTGGGACTATATATAAATGGGTGAACATATGAACGAGATGTATGTGTTCCATAGACTGTATACATGCACAACAACATAGAAGCATGCTTAGACAAACATGTGCACAATGTGAATTGTATGCAAACATACAGCGCTAATAAGATGTTATAATAACGATTGACAAAGTTAACAAAATGTTGCAAGCAAAACTAAGCATGCATGTTCTGCAAGATGAGATGATACAATGCTTTTATGATTAGCGTAAATAACAACGACTGAGCGTGATAATAGGTTTACCCAGAGAGTAAGGGAGCCGCAGCACAGGTGAGAGATGGTGCAGAAACTCTTATCAATCCACCGCCAACTTAATACAATACATGTAACAAACAAGAGTACAGGAGGTGCGCACGGAACAAGTGTCCGGGCGGAAACCAAACGCATTGTCCTGCCTTTTCCTGTAGTTCCGCCACAACCGCAGTAGACAAATACAAACAAAACGAGCAGACTACAAGTTTAGAAAATATTCACGGTTTCGAACTTGACAGATCAATAACTCAAACAAAAAACGTTCTTGAAACACGAACGAGGTCCAAAACAAGTCAAAACGCGTCGTCCACTGAGTGTGAAGTTAAGTCACGTTGGTGATGTTTGTTCAACATGTTTTGGCCATTGGTGTTTTTATAAATTGCATTTTTGAAAATGCAGCGCGTTTCCCTAATGGAAATGTTGTTGGCCCTTGTAGCGCCTTTGCACCTGTAGGCCAATGTAATGAGGTCCAACTTGTGCTTTAAATTATGAAGTTTTACTTGAATGCGGTCACACTTTGAACTTCACTGCTTCTTTCTGGTTAACCACATCATTACAGCGTCTTTATGACAAACAAATGAGTGTGAAGTGAGTGACCAGGGGAGCTGCATACTTATTGTAGTGACGGATTTGGGAGGAGAAACTAGTTCCTGGAGAGGTTGAGTAGGCCTACTTTACTTAAAACAAAACTACTAGTCATTTCATTATGTTTATTTCTTTAAATAATTTATTCAGGACACATTGGGTGTGGCTTAAATATTGAAGTTTAACATTCATTCTTAATTTTAAAAAAGTCGAAGTCCACAGAACATCTCATCTCAAAGTCCAATTAGAAACTGCTCTGGACCAAGAGGTTGATTCACATCCGTTTAACATTTTTGAGATTCTAATGGTGCTATTTCGAAAACAATAAGGACATTATTATTTCCAACAATAGAGTTATATACATTTAGGTCACTTTTTTGAGGCTGTAATGATTTAATTTCCCCACTAGATGGAACTGTTTAGTTTAGACTGAAAACTAAAAATTAATTTCATATTACACTATTAATAATAATGTCAACTTTCCTATTTTTGAAGGTAAAGGAAAACGATTCTTGCAATGTATAAAGCAGTAGCATATGTCTTACAAACTAAATTAAATTGGCTTGTAAAGTAAGTAACAGTTATACTTTTAACTTTTCTATGCTTTGTAGTAACGGTACAATTGTTAACATTTTTGTGAATAATTTGTGAATTTTTTTGTTCACAAATTATTATATTTCATTATTCATGCATTCAGTTAACACATCCAATACAGTAATGGGTACGTAAGGACTCGAAGTATGTTTGTCCCTGCCTGCAGAGTAGCGGTTTTTCCGACGGTCCTGTAAGGCAGCATAAAGCCTTGTCAGACAGTGAAGGGTTAACCTGTGTAAGAGGATGAATGGATATTGTGGTGAGCAGCATCTGATTACACACAGACACCAGCAGGCATCGGAGGACGGAACACACTCAGTATCTGCCGGCCGAGACTGCCTCTCATTCCCCTCCAAAAAATAAACTGTTTACATATCACTCTGGAAACTTCACTTTTTTAACCGACGAAAGAAAAGCATTGTGGTCAATTTGCCGGGTCTTCTCACCGTGTAAATGGCTCAGGGGGGTCGACGGGAGACTGCGGAGTAAACTTGCAAGATGTCGCAGTTTGTGGGGGTTTAAAAGAGGACTTACGGCTGTGTATTATTACCGGGCTGCACATCCATCGAGGCGGTCAAACTTCCGGAGGACTGTGTGTTTCTTCCTCCAGGTCGGAGAGAAACAGGTAAGAGACCTCACCTGTCTGCAGAGCACATGTTGACACTCGTGTAATCCAGTTTTAACCTATATTTGTGTATTACTGCGTAGGCGTATGCTATGTAACATCACTATTTAATCAACCAAACTGTGTTAAACTCCGGGTAACGTAACAAACACTGTCTTAAACTGACAGTTGGCACCTGAACTAGTTAGCTAAAAGCTAGTGGTCTGAAGTGGTGGAAAGTAACTAAGTATATTTACCCAAGTACGGTAAAATGTTAAGGTACTTGTACTTTACCTGAGTATTCTCAGTTAATTCTACTTTATACTCCTACTCTGCTACATTTTAGAAGCCAATAATGTAGTTTTCACACCCCTACATTTATTTGACAGCTTTTAGTTACTAGTTACTTTTTAGATGATTAGATAATACAAATCAATTTTTAAATACACATTAATTATAGGTTAAGATATCCAGCAGTAGTAAATACAGTTATTCAAATTAGCTCCACCTCCCCATAGATACATTCTAATTATGGTATTTTTTACAATATGGTATTGCTATAGTTTTACTAAAGTACAAGATTTTGCATTGTGAGATTCTTCTCACCAATTTTGATATCATCAACAACAACATCAACAACAGCAACATTTTGACTTGCCAGAGTAGGAAGAGAAGTACAGGTGTTAAGAATACAATACTAACTTTAATAATAATATTGGGAGGGGTGAAACCCTCTTTGGTCACACATGCAGAGCACACAGCACACACAGTGACATTTGGCCTCTGCATTTAACCCATCCTAGTACCAGGAGTAGTACTACTGTAGGAGCAGTGGGCAGCGCCTGGGGAGCAATGGGGGTGGCGGGTTGTCCGGTGCCTTGCTCAAGGGCACCACGGCAGGGCAGGAGGTGAACTGGGACCTCTCCAAGTAGCAGTCCACACTCCATTTTTAGGTCTGGCCAGGGACTTGAACCGGCGAACCCTACGGCTCACAGTCCAAGCCCCTACTGACTGAGCCACTGCCACTTTAGAAATGCTGCTAGCTTAGTTGCTGCTTGTAGGCTGAACATAGGGCCATCTCTATTATCAGATACAGACACATAACAACATACAGAATTGACTGGGGGAGTCATTATTACATTTCTCTGTGATGTTTGATCTGTAGAAAAACTACAAAACAAATTGACAGAAGCACAACCAAAGCTAGCTCATCAAGTTGTTATTGATAATATGTAGGTCGGCAATAGGATAAAAAGGACAATTTACACCCCTTTTAGCTCTGTTTTTGGTCTCCACCATTAGGGATATCGTAAGCATTAGGTATGTAATAAAGGCTAAACTTCAAATGTACCGGAAAATCTAAACAATGAACTAGAAAAGGCTGAGAAGTATTACAGTGTCAGAGTTGGTTGATACATCTGTATATGACACTACATGTAACCTTTTTCCAGCACACAGTGTCACCTGATTACATTTACTAGATACAAAAGAACTTGGTAATGGAGGATTTAGATTTTAAGTCCTGAAAAGCACTACAGAATACATTTGTATTTTCAATTTTTCTTCATAAAAGTGTTGGTAAATGTCACTGATTATGCCTTCATGACTTTAAATGCGTTTAGACGTCCAACCTTAAAAAAAAAGGAGCGTTAACTCATTTGTGTATCTGGGGGCGGGCAGACAGGCTGAAACGTTCCCCTTGCTTCAGGCTTCAAACCCTGCCAAGCAAGTGGAATTTCCTGGAAACATGTCAACGCAGAATGTGAAACTTCTACCCCGTCCGCCATCTCTGCTCTGGTTGGCTCACGTATCTGTGCTTTTTTTTTTAAATTAAAACTTAAGTTTGTGACATCAGGAGTCAAAAGCTGAAGAGGGCAAGTCAGTCACTTTCTGTTTTTCTATTTTGTCAGCACATCTTGAAACAGTTTAAGAAACCCAGAGGATTGGAGTTGACACCAGGTTAATCTAAAACACAAAGATCACTTCTTCAAATAGCTTTTTTTTGTCTGACCACCAAAAACACATCCGTGTTTTTTTTTGTCTGATCACCAAAAACACATCCGTGTACTATACAAGAGGAAAAAGCAAGAAATCCTCGAATTTGACAAAATATAACCATCAAATGTGTTATGTCTTAAAAAATGACTTTATCAAAATAGCAGTCCATCAATTTGTCCGATTGACATTTTTAAAAAGCCGGCACTCAGGATCTTTTTGTTAAAGCTATATTTTGAGAATATAAGTCCTGGGTGTTCTGTGTATAATTTACTAGACAGCACGGCTTAAAGCAGGCACACTGGAGCCACATGTGAACAGCAAGGGAAAAACAGGTTCATCTTTGCAACGTGCAACAGATTGTGCCAAGCCAGCTCCAGCCAGCGTCCCGCCTTCAGGCTGGTGCAGAGCGAAGGGAAGCTAGCTTGGAGGCGGTTCCCCTTTAAGCATCATGGCCTCTCTGATGTGGTTCTGGTCAGAATGAGCTGAGAGATCAGCTGTTTGAGTGGGAACAAGGCTGAGTTGCCCTTTTCCTTCAGGCTGCTGTACTCCGCCTCTCTGTGATCTGCTTTCGTTTTGTGTTCTGTCCTCGCCTCGCCCCTGTCCTCGCACCGTCACATGGTGAGCTGTCAGTTAGAGCTAGAGCCTCGGGCTGTCAGGTGTTACGGGAAGAGATCACCACATGGGCGGGGAGTGTGACATGTTAAAACTGCTGCTTAAAAAACCTGCAATTATATCAGGTTCACAACTTTGGAGGGCAAATGTCACTGAGGCGTTTCGGGAAAATGGAAAATGTTTTCAATAATGTGATAGGGACTATTTAATGTGGATATCACAGGATATTGACAAGAAACTTGAGAGAAATCATATGGATATTATAGATTTAAAAGCTGTGAAGTCACTTTATTGAGTCTAGGGATTTAAAAAATATAGAAAAACAATGAAAGTGTTATCATAATATTGCAACAACCAATATTGTATGTAGAGGATACCTTTGCCTGAACATTGATTGTTCATGTATAATTGGAATTTACAAAGTCAGGACCAGTTTTTTTGTTCAGTATTTTAATCATGACTACACTATAATAAACATTAAACAAACCAATGGGACATGTATTATCCCCCTATAAGGTGATATATAATATTTCATTTTGATTAGGGATGTCCCGATCACCTTTTTTTGCTCCCGATCCGATTCCGATCATTTGATTTTGACAATCTGCCGATACCGATTTTTCCCGATCCGATCTTTATGCAATGCATTAAGAGAAAAAAAAGGAGAAAAGCATTCAAGTTGTCCCTTAAACCCCACGTTCTCCACCACAGATAACGGCTGGTCATCCAACGCAATGAATTCAGCTATCTTGGCTGTTATTTTTTTGGCCTTTTCACTGTTCTGGGGCAGTTTCTCTTTCCTTTTAAAAGTCTCTGAAAGTGTTGGTTGTTTCAGTGCCGTTACCTGAATGGCCGCTGTGTACTCGTTGTGTTGTTGTTGGTGTTTGTTTCTCAGGTGGCGTATTAGATTGGTCGTGTTGAACGTAGCTCTGTTCTTTCCACCACGCGGAACCTCCGCCTTGCAAACATTGCATCTGGCTGTTACACTGCCTTCGCTTTCAATTTTATAATACTTCCAAACTCCTGACATTTTCTCTGTCCCGAGTCACCAGCTGAACGTAGCCTCTCGTTAGCTTACTGCTACTATTAGACACTGCGCCCACTCTGTTGCCAGATTTGAGAGAAATAAGCAACCAGGTCTATGAAAACAAGCCCAAAAGAAGCAACACATACATGATGTTGTGTAATTTTAAACCAAAACTAAGGCCTCAGGATGACTTTAAGACGTGAACATGGTCATTGTTGGTTTGTAACATTAAATAAAATAAAAAAATAAAAATTATTAAAAAAAAAAAAAAAAAAAAAAAAGATTCCGATCCCCGATTTTTTTTTCCCGATTCCGATCTTTTGAAAATCACGTGATCGGCTCCAATCCCCGATCACGTGATCGGATCGGGACATCTCTAATTTTGATTGTTTTATTTTTGAAGCCACACTCCTGACTCACCATTTACAAACAATGCACCAGGGCAAAGAATGATCACTAACAGGAATGAGTTTGCTTTGCTCTTGGGTTTCTTGCCTCTCGTTGTGCCTTCTCACACTGTTCTTCATATCTAACCACCGTGTCATGAAGCACCTTGTAGGTTTTTCTGGTTCTTCATTATTTGATGTTTATTACTAACCAGTTGCAACCTTTTTTTCTGTTTGAAAAAAAGGGTCGGGCTCTTAGCTCTTCATTCAAAAGTGGACAATTATTTTAGGACAGTAACTTGAATCAACCATTCTAATGGGAGAAAAGCATTAGGAGAGAGTATTTTCATTTAAATACATTGGGATCAGGAATTTTGCTCATGAGAAAACTTTCAAATAAACTAAAAGTGGGACTTTTGATCCTACAAACATAACCTGAATATTTCAAAAAAGCCTTTATTTTAGTAGTTGTGAATATGATGTTTCTTAAGTTTGGAACATTTACAATTCTTTACAATTACCCTTATGTGTCTTGACTGTCAAGATATGTATTTAAAAGTGATTTGCAGTAAACAGACCGATGGAAAAATATCACTGTTTTCCTTTTTTAAATCCTGACACTCCCTTCCCAACTCATTTCCCAGGCAGGCAATTTTAGAGGTGTTAGCTAACTACTCTGACCTCCACTAGTGGGGGGGGGGCTGCCGGTCCTTGCTGTTTCATTATCCGTCCACAACAGGCTCCATATGTGGCATTTCACCATGAGCCCCAGAATGTGCCACCTTCCAGCCAGCAGGGAGACATATAACAGGGGCTCGTCCTCCACCTTCTCCAGGCTGCTGGGATCTAACGCTGCTCCGCTGTCTAACAACCCTCTCCGTGTTTCCCTCTGCTTTGGCATCTGCTGCCTCTCTGTCTGTCCCCTTTTCTGTCTCTCAGGCCCGAGGAGACAAAGACTGTCTTCTGTTGGACATCTGTCCTTCTGTTTTTCGTCTCTG